GACAAAAGGAATATACTTTTTCTATAAGCAGAGAGACATTACTCATAAGCAACAAATCCTCTCCATACCTGCTATTTCCTGCAGCCGATCTTCATCCATGTTGGGGTCAAAGTCACTGCCAAGCACGTCAGTGCTCCAGGTCTCACTGACAGTCTCAGAGATGTCCCGATCCTCTGTCAGGCCCATCATGTCTCGGATTTCAAACTTGCGCAGTTTGTCATCCAAGTTGTCTTGAGTGGTGGCTGATTGAGGCCCACCATAGAGTATTATTTATACTGCACACACTTGGACATATACATTTTACTATAGTATCTTTCATTTGCGGCGTTAGTTAGCCGAACAGTCCTAAAAATATACTGACAATTTTTCCCCCCTTTGTTTGACAGTTTAAAAAAATAAATAACTAAAATTAAAAAACAGTATAGGAAAAGTGTGCACACACCTTGTTCATGCTCCAAAAGCTGGAGAGCCTCCACCCCGTTGCTTCCTGAGGGTCCAGCTCCCAGCTCAGAAACAGATTCTCCCTCCAGGTCAAGAGATGACACTGAATTGGAACGATTGGATGGGCCTGAGGAACATATTGAAAGGACCAGCTTGATGTCAAGTTTGGGGAATTTCTTGATTCTACACCAATATGACACCAAACAACTAAAATATATATTCATTTCACCACAGATGTTTTTATTTTAAAGTTTCTCTCAGTGACCTTGGTACATTTCTCTAACTACAACTTAAAGTCTGTTCAACATTTAAGTCCATTTCTCAAAGCAATTCATACAAATAACCAAACATCATGGTTCCCTTGCAAATGCCATCATCTCTTTCTCCAAATCAATAGCTCATCTCTCAAAAGTAAATATTTGTCTCACTGAATATGTCAGTGCCATCAGAGAGGCAAGTCTTTGTGTAATTGTGTATGGATAAGACAGTCAAATTGTTTAGTCATGTCATCAATATAACAATGGACTCTGGAGGGATGTTCTGACAAACTTCGACTGATGTTTCAATAACAATTACTGAGACTGAACAAGATTCACATCTCACTTTAACTGTGTGCAATGTAATATGTTGAACGAACCATCTCATTGTGAAACAGAAAGGAAAAGACAGTACTGCAAATGGGGAAAAAAAAAGAA